GATTAGTATACAGAAAATACTGAGCATTCTCAATAGTGTTGGAGGGATGAATGTGGGAAGGGTCAAATTTAGCTTTTAAGGGTGATGAGTGATAAGCAGAGAAATGTGTGTTCACCTTAGATACCTCATATTTCCCTCCTCTTTGAGAACATTAGAAAGACTGAAAAAATCATGGTCTCTTTTACCCTACTTTTTTCTTTTTTGTTTTAAGAAGATGAGAACCTATTTCTTACTGTTATATAGATAAACTGTACAAGGAATGGGGGAAAGAGAGAGACTGCATCTCTTCATGAATAGTTAGGATATGTTAACATATATAAGGGATCAATCTTATAGACATCTATTCATGTATACTGACTGACTTCTAGATGTTTCTGTAACTGGCAGCTAGTAAGAAAAATGAATGTCCTTAAAATTCCCCCCTTCTCTTGTGCAGAAGGGTTTTGTCAATTGAGACTTATTTAAAAACTCTGTAAGAGAGGCCTGTTATTATTTTAAATGACTATATCAGTTTTGATGATGCTAATAAGATGTTATGAAAAATAAAATGAGGGCTTGAAAATACTTGGGTAGATACAAAGCTGTATTTAATGCAGAGTTAGTGAGAGAAATAGCTCCATTCTAATTGTGCTTTTTGTGGACAAAATATGATTATGGTTTAAAATCACTATGTGCTTCATGTCACTACTTGGACATTCTTTAGTTTTTTAGTGATTTCATTATCTGCATGTTTTAGTGAGAAAAATAAGTGTCCCCAAAAGACAAATTCTTTCCTTGACACAAACTGTCATATAGTCTAGTTATGGTCTGATGCTAATAACTTTGCTTTTTTAATTACAATTAATGTTTTTCATTTTCCTTCCAGTTCTACCTTTACAAATGCATAAAAATAAGGAATGTTTTTCTGTTTGCATGATTGTTCATTTTGATTGGTCATTATTATTCTTGCATTTGTTTTCCACTTCTGTCTCCTGTCAGTTCAAATCAACTAAAAATATTAAATACTGTAATGTTCCAAAAACATTCAAATAATGGATAATTCTGTGTATGCCCTTCCTTTGTGGCAGCAAAATTTGTCACCCTCAAATGACTGTGAAACTGAGCTACACCTTAGTCTTAGATATCACTTCCTTTCACAGTCATTTTGCCAGTGTGTCAAATCAGTAGTTCATCCTTTGTGTTATCTGGGAGTTTCCTATCACTTTTATCAAAGAAAGGCAAATCATATGAGAAATGTACCAAACTGATATCCATCATAGCATAATAGCAATAGATGACACTTACAGATGATGACAGATTGCATTGTAAGAGCTATGCTCTAGGTTATGATGATTTAATTGCATATTTTTACTTTTTTAACAGAATGTACACACCTTGAAGGGAACTTTGTACAGGCCTATGCAGAAGTTGCTTGACAGAATTTTCAAAGTGCACATTATAAAGAATTGAGTGAAAACATCTAGCAAGGATTCTAGCTTGGATTTGCTTTGTTACCTTTTGCAAACTTTTTGATCTCTTTGAGCCTCAGATCCTTGGTCTCTTAAACAAAGGGATTTTTATCAGTTCAAATGTTTATTTTTATTATTAAGCCACAGATCACTGTAAAGTATAAGGACAAAAAACAGAGTCATTCCTAACCACCTATCAGAGTGTCTGGAACATTATAGTGTTTAACATGTGTAAGTTGAATTGAATTGAATTTGGTCCATCAAAATTGTGGATGAAATATTGATGGATAGAGCGCTACCTTTGTCAAAACAGAGCTACTTCTGTCAAATAGGAGTGGGTGACATCCCAAGGCTTGGAGACATGCCCAGTGGGTCAGTCCTTCTCTCCTTTTTTTTACTTTTTCTGCCCAGAGGTGCTCTGTGCAAATAACATGACTTTAGGAAACATAGTTTTAAAAATTTAAAATAACTTAATAAGCATTGAATTCTCTCTAGCCCTAATATCTTATGATTTCATGATCTAGATTTGAAGAATTCCTATGCTAACATGGAGTTTGTCAAATGACAGAATATGAAAATTCTTCAGGACATAACATTATGTCACAGAGTGGGTGGTAGGGTAGGGCAGAGAAACAAAAACCTATTTTACATTTCTGAACAAATGTGCTACATATGGATTATATTATCTTTCTATACAGATTTTGTTTCCCCTCACCACAGGCTAGTGTGGGAAGTGTTTGAGCATGGAACATTTTCTCAACTGCTTTTTAAAACAAACTGTCAAATTATCTACTAGTAACTACATAATCACAAGATTTTTAAACTAAGAAACTTATTAAAATAAACCAGTTATTTTGACATCATCATGGCTTGTGAAGTTCACTAAAATTCATTTGATAACCAGAGTTGAAGAAGTGTGACTTTTTAACCTATTAATGGTGAACTATTTTGACAACATTTAGTAAATAAGCTGATTGTTTTGTTAGTAAGAGAATCAAATCTTTTAAGATCACTTGAGGCATGAAATCAGAGTATTTAAGGTTACTCAGTGATGTTATATTTTTGAGAATTTCAGAGCTATTAATCTCATCCTATTACCCAAACTTTCGTTTTTCACTTTTATTCCCACATTCTTGTTAAATAGTTGAAGGCAAATAAATAATGCATTCAATTAGTTATGAACACAGCAATTAGTCCTAGATGAGGTTGGTCTCCCCAATAAAGACCCTTGTTTTAGTCAACTTTTATTCTCTGTTACCAAAATACTGACTAGGACAATGTAGAGGAAGACAATTTTATTTTAGCTCATAGTTTCAGAGATCCATGGTCAGCTGACTACATTGCTCAGAGATTCAGTCCATGGTCAGCTGACACCATTGCTCTGGGTCTGATGTGAGGCCCAACATCATGGCAGAAGAGCATGGTGGAGGAAAACAGCTCAGGACATGTCAACCAAGAAGCAGAGAGAAAGAGAGAGTTCCACTTACTAAGGACAAGATATAAAAGGCTATACCACCAGTGACCTTCTTCCTCTAGTCATACCCTATCTGCCTACAGTTACCACCCAATTAACCCATATCAGTTGATTAATCCACAGATTAGGCTATGACTCTCACAATCTAACCATTTCACCTCTGAACATTCTTGCATTTTCTCATACATAAGCTTTTAGTGGACACCTCATATCTAAACCATAATGATCCTAAAAACTCGTCGCTGTTTTCCTAACTTGGGATGCACTATCCCTTTGCATTGACTTTGTTTTCTGTTAAAGAGACATGGAGGCAAACTGCTGAAGCAGTTTGAATTCTTGAATCCTCTGGAGATGAGTACATGTAGCCAACTCCTGGCAGTTCTGTCTAGATCCACCTTCTAGTTATCAACCAAGCTGGCATGTTCTCCTGGCAAGGAGAAAAGAAAGTCTCAAAGCAAAAACATTTAGTTCAGTGACCCTTAATTGATCAATGTCTGTTTTTTTAATACAGAATAGAAGTTACAGTGACAGATTTCCAGGGACCTAGGCAATTCAGGGGCGGGGGCAGGAAGGGGAACCAATGAAGAACTATTTGTCTAAAGTCCAGAAAGTCTAGTTTACTAGGAATGAAGCATGCAATAGAATGCCCATCTTCCCAATGTATAGTAGCAAACTCTTAGACTTGTTGCTGATAAATGAAATTGATGAGAGCACAGAGCAGAAATGTGTGGAAGTTTCAAATCAAAGAAAGTATATCATGCAAATTAGCAATATACATACACTACAAAATGTAACAGATAATAGTAATACAGATTTAGACTAAAGGGAAAATACCATTTTAAAATATCCTCTTGGCATGATTGTGCATGCTTGTGTTATGCTAGAATTTGGGACCCCCAAAAGACCACCAGAGACCAAGATCCATGTAAACAGCAAAGAGGTGTTTATTGCGAGCTAGCTCGGTCCTCTGCGTGCATACACAGCAACTGGTGACGCTGAGAGGCCCCGAGCCCAGGGTTTGCAGCAGTTTTATACATTCTTTGGAGAAGGCAGGGACTTCACATACATCATAGCATCTCTCAGAAAATCATCACACACCGCGGGAAAATCAAATAACAACTCTAAAACATGATTAGCACATTCACTGATGGGAACAAGTTGGGTAGGGGTGATTGGTTACTACAAAAGGGGGATTCATTTGAACTGATTGGTTTGAGCCAAGAGGGGTGTACGTGCTGAACTACATGGTTTCCCAACATGTTATCAACCACCATAAACTACTGGGAGGGTCATCTGGCATCCCAGGTATTTCCCTGTCTCATGCTGATTGGTGACTGCTAGGGGGCTGCTATGGATCCCCACCTAGCCTGACTGAGTCAGGGACACCTGGCGCAGCAGATCTCTCCTGTTATTTGTAGATAAATAACTTAGCAGGGTGGGAATGTGCCTAGGAGTGCTCTGTGGGTTTTTCCAAGGACAAAGTTGATGTCCCTTCCTTGGACAGGCTGTTCTCTGAGGTAGAGGCTGGTTTTTCATTTGTACTGACACTAATGTCACATTGCTAACCCATTTAGTGTATCTATATGTAGGAATACTTAATGTAATTAGTAGATTGTGTGTTTTGAGATAATGTGATCCAGTATATGGGAAATATAAATGGAATTAAGAAGAATGACAAACCTCTATACTCAATAATGTTTTACTACATGCTACATACATATGTGTGTAGCTTTAATATTAAAAAATGGAGGGCATCCCTTTAAAACAAAAATAAGATATAAATATAAGATGTATCATGAAACAGTCTGATTTTTTTAAGAACTGACCAATCCTGATTCTGTAATTCAAAGGTGTCATGTGACTGTTGATCTGGAAATGTTATATTTTACTCTTGTATAATCTAATAGCTTTCCAGCTTGCCTGAAGGTACCACCTGCAATACGAAAGTCATTACTTGGTAGAGTGCTTTGACACTACTTTGAGAATGAAAAATCTTTGAGAAAATAAGCTGTATGCTATCATTCAGTTCATGCAACATAACTATAAGTCTCTGTACTATTATTATTGTTGTTTTCCAGCTCCTCTGACTGATAAGCCACCCAAGCTTTTGTATCCTATGGAAAGTAAACTGACAATTCAGGAGACCCAGCTGGGTGAGTAAATCCTTAATTCTAGTTAATACATTTTTTTTAGTATATTCTGACAGTTAATAAGTCTACATCGTTACCATGTGATACTCTGAGCTAAACTCATGGGTATTTAAAGAGGACAGAATTAGGAAGTGTCAGCACACATGACATTCTGTTCTCTGCAAAGTACACCTTGAGACCAAAATGGATATATGCTATTTAGATGGTTATTGGGAAATGAAATAGGCTGATGATTTTAGCAATGATAGTATAATGTAATGTTATAATGTTTGAATTCTTTTTAAAATGGGCAATATGGAACTATTTTATAATATCTATTAATATATTAACATGAATTTTCTGAAATTCAGAGAAAAGGATGGAACTTTACTAAAGTAAATGTTACCATTATGGCAAAAAAAAAAAAGCATTTTAAAAATCTAATGCAGGGGCTGGAATTGTGGCTCAGCAATAGAGCGTTTGCCTAGGACAAGCGGGACCCGGGTTTGATTCTCAGCACCACATAAAAA